CACTTCAGCCTGAAACAGAAAATCACGGGTTCTTTTATGCGGGTGTTTACTATATGCTATATCGCGTCACATCTTAGTACAATGATAAGTAATTAAGGTACTGAGCGAGAGAAAATATGAAAATCATAATTATACCTAGTATGATCATGGCAGATATAATACTGTATCTGAACGATGACTGTTTGAGCTTAGGCGCGCACGTCTTATATATATATACTAGCTATTACCCGTCCTCCAGACGGGTTTGAGTGGGGTATGATTTGAAGATATACCTATATATATACTAATTATTATATATATAGCTATATATATATAGGGTATAATCATTTATATATTTCAATCCTATGTATTAGATATTGTACGTGTGCCTATTGTACTTTTCTACATATTGCTATGTGCACCTAAATACAACGAGTGAAATTTTGGTCGTTCTTTAGTAGCGACAAGCCGTACCAGGCGGCGTTTCGCACGACACGGCCATGCCTGGCCCAAGCGGGGCAAAATCAGGCTAGTAGCCTTGTTTAATCAAGCGTTCTTGCCACTTCCCACAAACAAAGGCCGTATATCTTGCCCGCCGAGGGATATGACCCTAGCCCAACAGCCCTCAGAACAACTTGTAGATTGTCAGACCGCAAAATAAAGACTAGGCCTTTACCAAACTATAGTGCCACAAAGAGCCATAATAAATACTTAAACTAACACGGATACAGCAGTCGCTAGGACTTTATTATAATGAAAAATGAATGCCTGACTGGCAATATAACTAGAGCGCCCAAATATAGGCCAGACACAATCGTACGGCTTACATATATAGTATCACGTCCCGACCCCTATGCTCTTATAACACGGACCTTAAGGAGGCGTGTCAAGAAGAAGAGATATAGATATAATATCGTACGCTGCAAAATTCAGTTATAGAGAGACCGGCAGAAGTTTCTGTTCTGTAACTCTTGGTGCTGACTGCGTCGCCCGCGAAGGTTTCATGAAACCCATGCTTCGTCACCATGCAGCAGCCTGGCCCGCAAATCAAAGACCTTAGTCCAACAAGCCTTTGTTCAATTGAGGAACGATATCCGACGACGGAGCAGAGGCAATTGATAATCTTAACTTGCCCAGTAGAAAAAAGTTTCAATAGCAATGAGCCTAGGAATCCATCTATATAATATATATATAGATACTATATGTAAACATATATATATATTTATATGAACAGTTATTATGATATAATAATAAATATATACATACCTCAATGTTATACCGCGATCTATGTTCACTGCCAGATAAACTGCTTACATGAATGCCAATGCCAACGCTAAATGGATTTCATGCTTTACCTACCTCGCGCGGGGCCCGCCGGGAAAGACAGTACCGACAAGACGAGGAAGTTATATTTATTAAATGTCTATATTTTATAATAATAATAGGCACTATAATACATATTTATAATCAAATTACAAGTCATCCTATAACTAGCGAAAAAAAACGCTTATCAGTTCGCATAATGAGTTCGACCCTCAGATTAATTGCGAGTTTACTGAGCCCGCAGGTGCCATCATTAGTGCAGAATGCCTACCAGTTTCAGTCGCCTAATAACTAACTAAACTAAGGTTCGCCGCATTGCCGCCGTATATCTCTACTGGTTATGCCCCGACATCAAGGCAATGAATAGAAAAGCCATGCCAAGCAAATCAAACCATCCAAAGAGACGAGGCCAGCACGCGAGGCGTGACCTGGGACAGAGACGCCCGTGTGCATGCGACCGACGGAACAGCCGAGCGGACCCGCCGCACAGTTAGTAGTAACGGGCAGGCGCGAACAAGCCTAAACGACCGAAAACGACAGTTCGGGGCGGCCGCGCAGGAGGGCAGAACCTACCAGGGCCCGGGGCGCGCTGATCGCCGGGCAAGAGCGTGCGACAGGAAGGGACAGGACGCGCGAGAACGAATGAACACAGACGGGCAGGCTAGCGAAACAGTGGAGGGCGACGAAGCAAAGGGGCACGCCCTCGCTAAAGTGCACCGGGGCACGACGTCCTGGGGTGGGAGACGTGAGGAAATGCCGACAGCAAAAGATAGCTGAGGGCCAGTAGAAGAAAAGCGAGACCGAGCAGGGGCAGAGTGAGGCCAAGGGTGGAAGGACGGGAAGCGGGCCGAAAGGTACAGAGTTTCTGCCACC